TGTTGAGTCACTCTGAGATGTTTCAGTGTTTCAGGCCCATGTTGAGTCACTCTGGGATGTTTCAGTGTTTCAGGCCCATGTTGAGTCACTCTGTGATGTTCCAGAGTGTTCCAGGCCCATGTTGAGTCACTCTGGGATGTTCCAGAGTGTTCCAGGCCCATGTTGAGTCACTCTGGGATGTTTCAGTGTTTCAGGCCCATGTTGAGTTACTCTGGGATGTTCCAGAGTGTTCCAGGCCTATGTTGAGTCACTCTGTGATGTTCCAGAGTGTTCCAGGCCCATGTTGAGTCACTCTGGGATGTTTCAGAGTGATCCAGGCCCATGTTGAGTCACTGGGATGTTTCAGAGTGATCCAGGCCCATGTTGAGTCACTCTGGGATGTTCCAGAGTGTTCCAGGCCCATGTTGAGTCACTGTGGGATGTTCCAGAGTGTTCCAGGCCCATGTTGAGTCACTGTGGGATGTTCCAGAGTGTTCCAGGCCCATGTTGAGTCACTTTGGGACGTTCCAGAGTGTTCCAGGCCCATGTTGAGTCACTCTGGGACGTTCCAGAGTGTTCCAGGCCCATGTTGAGTCACTGTGGGATGTTCCAGAGTGTTCCAGGCCCATGTTGAGTCACTCTGGGACGTTCCAGAGTGTTCCAGGCCCATGTTGAGTCACTTTGTGACGTTCCAGAGTATTCCGAGTCACGTTGAGTCATCGTGGTACTACAACCATCAACACCACAAAGCTCTGACGTCACCAATAAAGCTACAGACCATCCATGACGTCACCACCACAACAGACCATCCATGACGTCACCACCCCTTGTCATCAATGACGTCACGCAACTTTAACCTCAAAAGTAGATAGGATCGGAAGTCGCATTAGACAACCGGAGGTAGGAAAGGCGAGGTACAAGAGCTAAAGCTTGATCCTGAAGGTGCGCTCGCGCTCACACACATGCGCACGCGGACATTGACTGCTCTGGGGGTCGTAGTCCTAAGGGCCCAGGTTCGATTTCCGGTCGAGGCAGAAACAAATGGGCAGTTTCTTTCACCTGATGCCTATGTTCATCTAGCAGTAATAAAGGTTCCTGGGAGTTAGACGGTGTACTCACCTAGTTGTGCTTGCGGAGGTTGAGCTCTGGCTCGTTGGTCCCGCCTCTCAATTGTCCATCAACTGTGTGTGTATGTGTGTATTCACCTAGTCGGTCGAGTGGGAGTGGTCTAGTGGGAGCCGGTCGGCCGAGCGGACAGCACGCTGGACTTGTGATCCTGTGGTCCTGGGTTCGATCCCAGGCGCCAGCGAGAAACAATGGGCAGAGTTTCTTTCACCCTATGCCCCTATTACCTAGCAGTAAAATGGGTACCTGGGAGTTAGTCAGCTGTCCCGGGCTGCTTCCTGGGGGTGGAGGCCTGGTCGAGGACCGGGCCGCGGGGACACTAAAGCCCCGAAATCATCTCAAGATAACCTCAAGATAGTTGTGTTTGCGGGGGTTGAGCTTTGCTCTTTCGGCCCGCCTCTCAACTGTCCATCAACGGCCCGTGGCAACACACCACGACTCAACAACACAACACTACTCAACAACACACTGACAACATCACCGCCATATAACAACCACTCCCGAAGTTGTAAAACCAAATAAAAACAAAAGAGGCGCGCCTTTGCGGGGCCAGAGGAGCCGGATCATCCTCCTCAAACTCCCCAGCATCAGGAAGGGAACTCAAAGCTCCTAATCCATACACCAATCACTTGAGGCTCGTCGTCGTAAACTTATAATCCAATCCTCGTTCGACCCACGGCAAATAAAAGAACCCCCGTTTTTTACGAGTCAGTCCTATAAAAAGCCCTCCCAGCAACCCACACTGCTAAGCAGAGCGACTATGCATAGCGGTTACCTGCTAGAAAAACAAACACGCGGCCTATATCACAAAGCTGCGTGTATATATACATATATAGGTTGTGATTATAAGCCTCTTGTAGTTATATTACCTTAGGGTTATGAAGCAACTCGAGGGAAAACGGACCCTTGAGGGGTTCAGGGGGTGTCTTAACCATTTTTTTGTATTGTGTTCATACCCTCAAATTGGTGATAGGATGGGGTGGTGAAGGGTGTTCTGTGGTCACCCTTGCTAGGGGTCCTGGGCCATGCCAGGGGTCCCGGGCCATGCCAGGGGTCCCGGGCCACGCCCCAGTCCACCTGCTCACGTCAATATGTATGTTGTTTAACGTCAGGTGAGTGAAGCATCTATCCTGTTTAATGGGTGTTGTTGTGTAGATGACGCCCTGCAGGGGTTGTGTTGTGTGGGAGCAGTGTGAGAGGTGGTGGCAGGTGAGTAGTGTGAGAGGTGGGGTAGTGTAGGGGAAACAATCACCCACAATGACGACCAGGGGTATAGTGAACAATCGGAACAATCCCCCACATCGGGGTACAAGCTGTGAGAGATTGACGGAGTACAATCACCACCCATCATCCAGGGGCTAGATTCACGAAGAAGTTACGCAAGCATTTACGATCCTGTACATCTTTTCTCAATCATTAGCGGCTTTGTTTACAATTATTAAACAGTTAATGAGCTCCGAAGCACCAGGAGGCTGTTTATAACAGTAACAACAGTTGATTGGGAAGTTTTCATGCTTGTAAACTGTTTATATAAATGTAACCAAAGCCGTCAAAGATTGAGGAAAGATGTACACGTTCGTAAGTGCTTGCGTAGATTGTCTACAAGTCTAGAATTTCAGAAATAATAATTATAACTTGATATCGACTGATGGTAGGAGATTGAGGATGAAATCTCCGGTCCTTTGAACCAGCATATCTCAACATACTAACAGTATTAGCACTTTTAAAGTACACATACATGCCTCGGGCCGGATTCACGAAGCAGTTACGCAAGTACTTACGAACGTGTACATCTTTCATCAATCTTTGATGCCTTTGGTTACATTTATTAAACAGTTTACAAGCATGAAAACTTGCCAATCAACTGTTGTTATTGTTATAAACAGCCTCCTGGTGCTTCGGGGCTCATTAACTGTTTAGTAATTGTAAACAAAGCCGCTAATGAATGAGAAAAGATGTACAGGTTCGTAAGTGCTTGCGTAACTGCTTCGTGAATCTGGCCCCTCGTTCCTAACTGCTCTACCTTGAGGTTACCTTACCTTGAGGTGCTTCCGGGGCTTAGTGTCCCCGCGGCCCGGTCGTCGACCAGGCCTCTTGGTTGCTGGACTGATCAACCAGGCTGTTAGACGCGGCTGCTCGCAGCCTGACGTATGTTGACCCCCGTCTAGCCAAGCCCAAAGCGTATCCCAGGCTTGTTCTATCCCCAGATGTCCCAAAGCTGTCCTTGCAGTCCCTCCAGCTCAACCCCCAAACACTGTCCCATTCCTGTCCCAATATAGTTTTACTCCTACCAATCCACCAACTCATCCCAGCCCTTCTCTAGCCCTGGCCGCAGTCCCAGCCCTATCCTAAGGCTTCAGCCCCAGACCTTCCGCCATTCCTAGCCCGGCCCATCCCACCCACACCACACTTAATGTCACTCAACAAACTTCAAAATCTGATGGAAAAAAATGCAATATCGTGTTTTATATGTTTAGAGTGGAATATATATTTGTGTGTAAGTATGAATATATTATATATATTGTTATATGTGTGTATTTACTATTTGTATTTTACTATTTGTATCTGCAGAATCTAGCTAATAGCTCTTGGACCCCCGTCTTTCTAACCAATTTATTTTTCCTCTATTATGTCTACTGTATATATTTCTCTCAAACACACACACACACACACACACACACACACACACACACACACACACACACACACACACACACACACACACGCACACACACGCACACACACGCGCGGGAAGCAGCCCGTAACAGCTGTCCAACTTCCAGGTACCTATTTACTGCTAGATGAACAGGTGCATCAGGGTGAAAGAAACTCTGCCCATTTGTTTCCGCCATGTGTGTGTGTGCGTGCGTGTGTGTGTGTGTGTGTGTGTGTGTGTGTGTGTGTGTGTGTGTGTGTGTGTGTGTGCGTGTGTGTGCGTGCGTGCGTGCATGTATTTCAGACTTCTCCTTATCCTTGACAACCCAGTTGTTAACTGATCTAGACTTTGAGAAGGCTGGCAAGCTACGTCAAATTTGTTATACATTACAAAGTTTGAGCTGAAAGTTATCAGATGACGCTCAGAGTGACGCAAATTTTCAAGTTACAGGTGTTAAGAGTTACATATATATTCCTTATTCACAGATTCGCGCCACAATCATGAATCTAAATCTTTCTGTCGTTTTATATATATATATATATATATATATATATATATATATATATATATATATATATATATATATATATATATATATATATATATTGAAAGTGTTTAAAGGTGTCACGTGTTCAGAATTGTTCATAAATAATATTCGGAGACGGGCAGATGGATGGAGGCGAGTGTTCATGCTTCATTTTGTCATATAATGTCTTATTCCTTTCCAAAAGCATGTCCCGCCCATACTCCCCGCCCACACCCCCGCCCACACCCCCGCCCACACCCCCGCCCACGCCCACCAACTCCACAGGTCATAAACGAGTAATAAATCCCGCTGCCATCAGATCCACACCGTAAATAATACTCATCAAAATACTAAGAAAACACATCCGGACATTTAGGGAGCAGCCCGAGAGGCCTCGTCCACACCACCAGAGGTCACCAGAGGTCACCACAGGTCACTAGAGGTCACCAAAGTTCACCACAGTTCACCACAGGTCACTATCGCAAATATAACCAGTCATCACGTGACCCATCTCAACCTACAATTCCGTGTCCCAAGACCCCCAGCTCCACTGTCACGTGACCCATGTGTGGTGAAAAGAACATCCACAGAAGCCGTAAATGAGAATTCTACCCCAGGCGCAGGGTTCGAACCCAGACGCACGCGGTCTAGACGACTACACCACGACACGGTCGAGGGCGTAGTATCTACAATGTTATCTACAATGTTCTTTACCTGAGGGTGTGGTGGAGGGGAGGTGGGGCCCAGGGAGGCGCCGGGAGACCCGCTGGTGCTGCTGGAGGGTCGAGGTTCCTCTGGTGACCCGGGGTCCTCGGCGTTACGTACCTGGGGAGAGACAACCTGCCATTATTAACATGTTAACACCACTAAGCCACTATCATGTTAACACCACTAAGCCGCCATCATTACTATCATGTTAACACCACTAAGCCACTATCATGTTAACACCACTAAGCCACTATCATGTTAACACCACTAAGCCACTATCATGTTAACACCACTAAGCCACTTGTGCCCATCTTGCTCCTACTAGAGTTCAATGCTAAACAGGCATCTTACATGTGTCTTAAGACTATGTAAACAAAATTAGAGTCATTTGTCAACGAACTTAAATATTATACACCATACAGGTGTTATAATACATGATACAGGTGTTATAATACATGATACAGGTGTTATAATACATGATACAGGGGGGGTATAATACATGATACAGGTGTTATAATACATGATACAGGTGTTATAATACATGATACAGGGGGGGTATAATACATGATACAGGTGTTATAATACATGATACAGGGGGGGTATAATACATGATACAGGTGTTATAATGCATGATACAGGCGTTATAATACATGATACAGGTGTTAAAATACATGATCATGTATACAGGTGTTATAATACATGATACAGATGTTATAATACATGATACAGGTGTTATAATACATGATACAGGTGTTATAATACATGATACATGTGTTAGATACAGTTCAACTCGAGCCCCCCCCCTCCCCCCAAGGACCAGGAGACAACTTAGCAACGCAGGTAAACAATAACAGCGACGAGATGAAGAGTCACGATGATTACCAGAGGCACGATAAGAGTTCCATTACCAGCAGCTCACTATCGCACCGCTGCTCCAGCCTCGACGAGCACCAGTCTAGACACCTGGTGTGGCTGGGGCCGGCGGGCACGTGATGCCCCAGAGATGCCCCACTACCCCACGGGGTCTCTACACTACCGCACGGGGTCTCTACACTACCCACGGGGACGCCGTGGGTAGTTACCACGGGGGAAAGACCCCCCCAGCTCACTTTCACCACAGGGAAAAGACCCCAGTTTACACCTATCCAAATTACAAGTTGAAAGTCCCCCAGAGTAATTTGCTGTTGTTGTTGTTTAAGATTCAGCTACTTGGAACAAAAAGTTCCAAGTAGCACTGGCTATGGTGAGCCCGTAGTGGACTTACCTGGCACAGGAGCGGCGCTGTAACTTCAATAATTTGCTGTGATAAGATCAGCAAAATGTTCAATTAACACCGTGTGGGTGAGTGTACCTGTGTATGTGTACTAGTGTAGGCTACTGTATCCCGCCTGACTGGTTGGTGTATTACATGACACAAAATGTATTGGTGATACAGTACTGCTGTTGTTACTGGTGATGATAATTATCTTACAGAGGTAATTATTATATCATGTTGATATGAAGTTTCTTTATTCGCCAAGAAGGGAATATATACGCCGAGAGGTGTGGGTCACTCCACAGTGTGGACCACTCCACAGTGTGGACCACCCCACAGTGTGGACCACTCCACAGTGTGGACCACCCCACAGTGTGGGCCACTCCACAGTGTGGACCACTCCACAGTGTGGACCACTCCACAGTGTGGACCACTCCACAGTGTGGGTCACTCCACAGTGTGGGCCACTCCACAATATAGACACAGTGAACATATACACACAGGTTGGTCAGTAAGCTATAGTGACGGCCTTAATAACCCACTTCCCCCCAGACGATCGCCAGCCCTTAAAGTAGAATAGAAAACAAAGATCTGCAAAACACCAACAGGTACCCCGAGCTTTACCCGGCCCGCTGGAGGAGCCCCGGGTCTGTGAAGCCCGTCCCATTAGCGGAGTGTCGCGAGGCACCTGCAGAAGCCCGTCCCAAGGGCGCCCGAGGCCCTAAACGTCCCTCACACCTGACATAGAGTCAGGTGTAACTCTTGGCCCTGGATGGCTCCCCCTCCTCCTCCAAGTCATAAACCGCCTCCATATTTTGCTTTGTAATATAAATGATGTTATGGTTTAAGAGCTCCGCTATTGTGCGTTGGTGGAGATGCTTATCGTCCACACACGGCTAATGTTTCTTGCTGTTCCAGATGCCAGAGAACTTGTAGGAGCATTTCAAGGTGTTTATGGAGCACTCTGTCGGGTGTCAGCCGTCTCGCTCAGGTAGCTCTTAGTCAACTCTTATGTTTATTTGTTTAAACTTGAGAAATTTGTGGGTGAGGTTCATTTTCCGTGTTTATATGGGTATTATCACAGTGTGTGCCTATTAGCATCACAGTGTGTGCCTATTAGCATCACAGTGTGTGCCTATTGGGATCCCAGTGTGTGCCTATTGGGATCCCAGTGTGTGCCTATTGGGATCCCAGTGTGTGCCTATTCACACCGTAGTGAGAACTAGGAGCTGATGTACGGAGAAGGTGCCCAGTACATAGGAGGAGGTAGTGGGAGTACGGGAGTGGTGGGAACATGGGGCGGGTAGAGTGGGGGAGCGGGTAGAGTGGGGGAGCGGGTAGAGTGGGGGAGCGGGTAGAGTGGGGGCACCATACCATACCAACAGAGGGTAACACTCTGCTCACCTTCAAAACATCGCTGCGTTCATGCAACTGTAGAAGCGATGCCCCGATGGTGGCGAACTCTTTTATGCCCGCCCGACCTCGATCATGCGCGGAGCCTTAAAGGTCAGATTTCTCGCCTTGGTACACGCGGGAGGCGACCATCGTGCCCGCCAGATAGCCAGCCCAACCTTCAAAAGCTTTCGATAAGAGCTTCAAGCGATATTACTGCTTCCCGCCGACAGAGTCGTGTGCTATCATGTACGACAACCCGGCGACCACTGGTGGGCCCCCAGCGACCACTGGTGGCCCCCCGGCGACCACTGGTGGCCCCCCGGCGACCACTGGTGGCCCCCCGGCGACCACTGGTGGCCCTCAACGACCACTGGTGGGCCCCGGCGACCACTGGTGGCCTCCCAGCGACTACTGGTGGGCCACGGCGACCACTGGGGGGCCCCAGCGACCACTGGGGGGCTACCAGTGGTTGGGCTAAAATAGTATAAATAAATAATGCCACAAGAGCGAGCGAAGTATATGCAAGAAACAGGCAAAAAAAAGTGCTTGGCAGGAGCCGCCAAATGCAATAAAGTAACACAGGTAAGCAAATCATGCCGGAAAATAATAGGTGATGAGACGGCGTGATGATCGGAGCGTGACGGAGCATCGGTGCGCCAATTACCTGTCCCCCAGCACCTGCTCTCACGCTCCCACCGCCAGCCTCCAGCCCTGGCGGACGCCACCTGGGGACCCCGGCGCCACCTGGGAACCCTGGCGCCACCTGGGAACCCTGGCGCCACCTGGGGACCCCGGCGCCACCTGGGGACCCCGGCGCCACCTGGGAACCCTGGCGCCACCTGGGAACCCTGGCGCCACCTGGGGACCCCGGCGCCACCTGGGGACCCCGGCGCCACCTGGGAACCCTGGCGCCACCTGGGGACCCCGGCGCCACCTGGGGGGGACCCCGACGCCACCTGGGGAGACCCCGGCGCCAGGTACATTAGTGGGGGAGGCTCGCGGACCTCAATAACCCAGAGGGCGGCGACCTAAGTATAGGAGAGTAAAGTGCCCATTAGGAAGAAGCATCGCTGGGGGGCAGGAACCTCAAGGCTCAGTACTGTACCGGGTGATGAGTGTGTGTGGTGAGGCGTGGACGCCACTGTGGAGGAGGAGGACCTTCCGGCTGACGTCAACTTTGATGTCAACGTCAATTTTGACGTCAACATCCCCCCAACGGACAAAATATGATGAACTATAAATCATAGCGGCAAACAAAAATTCACGTTTTCTATGCGTGGGTCGCTCGGTTAGGCTAGGTTAAGGTGTTTTAGTTCATCGTTTTCTGTCTGTTTCCCCTCCAGGAAGCCAGGTTTCCCCCTCCAGGGAGCCAGGTTTCCCCTCCAGGGAGCCAGGTTTCCCCTCCAGGGAGTCACGTTTCCCCTCCAGGGAGCCAGGTTTCCCCTCCAAAGGAAGCCAGGTTTCCCCTCCAGGGAGCTAGGTTTCCCCTCCACGAAGCCAGGTTTCCCCTCCAGGGAGCCAGGTTTCCCCTCCAAAGGAAGCCAGGTTTCCCCTCCAGGGAGCTAGGTTTCCCCTCCACGAAGCCAGGTTTCCCCTCCAGGGGAGCCAGGTTTCCCCTCCAAAGGAAGCCAGGTTTCCCCTCCAGGGAGCCAGGTTTCCCCTCCAGGGAGCCAGGTTTCCCCTCCAGGGAGCCAGGTTTCCCCTCCAGGGAGCCAGGTTTCCCCTCCAGGGAGCCAGGTCATCTTCTAAGGTGCGTGAAGGCTTGGCAAATGGGAGAACAAATTGGAGGACTCATGGAAGGACAAATGGGAAGGAGTGGGTATGAGCCCGGAGACCTTCCAAGACGGTGACTAGCGCGTCAAGGGAATGAGAAACCCGGCGGCCTTATCACTGTACAAGAGAGATCAGAGATGCGCATCTTGCTGGCCACTCTACCTGACTAGTACTAAATTGCTGGCGTGTAGCGGATCAGATGAGACGATAATAGAGCACTTCCAGGACACGTTGAGAGGTCCTGTGATACGCTGTCCTCCCTCCCACTCTCCTCTCTCAAACCTGTCTCAACAAAGAGATGTTTGGGACGGTGTCTGCGCTCCGGGGCCGTCGTCTGGGAACTCATTTATCGATAAGCAAATGCGGTAGATTATTCCACACCGGCGGTTACCTCCTGATAGTGAGTCTCCCCGGACCTTGCAAGCCTATCGCCACGATAAAGTTATTCTGACACAAGTGGACTGGCAAATCTTAGTCCGGGTTCCTAGTTAGGTCATGGTAGGTTTAGGCTAGGTTATTGTAGGTTTAGGCTAGGTTACTGGGAGGTTTAGGCTAGGTTACTGGGAGGTTTAGGCTAGGTTACTGGGAGGTTTAGGCTAGGTTACTGGGAGGTTTAGGCTAGGTTACTGGGAGGTTTAGGCTAGGTTATGGGAGGTTTAGGCTAGGTTACTGGGAGGTTTAGGCTAGGTTACTG